CAAATGTTAGACAGCTTTCCTGTCTGACTGCCTGTGGCCAACCATGTCTGGGTGGTTTGTCTACCCTGATACCTCCTTTCCCTTTATTCTCCCAGCATGATCAGAACTACACAGCATTAAGTGGAGTCAGCCACTCACTAGCCCTATGACCTTGGGGAAGTCAGTGTTATTCTTTGTATAAGTGAGTTGGCATGAGCTAATACAAAAACAATCACTAAGCAGAGTTCTTGGCTGATCATAGCAGCTGCTCAATAAATATTTGAAGGGGGGGTTATTCTTTCAAAAGGCCCACCCCCTATTTCCCTTCCTCCTGGGGAAGGCATGTTTGGAATATTTCAACCAGAGCTAAAGGTGCCTCTGAGCCCACTGAGGGTACTTTCTCAACTGCAGAGGATTTCTGGACAACCCAGCAGCCCAGCCCCCACTCCAACCTGTCCCCTCAAGTGCAATGGGTTTCCAATCAGGCCTTTTGGATGTCTATATCTTGGCTCCCTCTGCTCTTAACCCCCCAGGAGGCTCAAAGGGAAAAGTCTCTGGTATTTCCTTTCCCGCTAGGATCGTGCTTTGAACAAGATAATGGAAATACAGAAAGAGGCGTTTCCCCCATGGGGATGCACTGTCTGCTTATTTTTTTCTCCCAGTTATGTAAAAATACATATTTTATACCATCACTGGGCCCAGGGAGCCTTTGGGACTTTACTTTCTTCTACCCAGCAAGCCTTGGCCTTGTAACTCTGCAGCGACTCTCATCGACTCTTCCATTACACTCTGATAATTCAATAAAAAGGATTTTAGAAAACAATTAGGGGCAGCAAAGTCAGGTCAGTCCTGATGCGCTCTTTAGACTTCTCGGCAAGTCCTTCTCCAAGCTCCTAAGAGAGATCAGGTGTCCAGGGTGAGGCGGAAACACAGAGGGGCTCCTTGTGGAAGACAGGTGCTGTGTGACTTTGGAAATTCACTGAATTGCCTTCCTGTTTCCTCTTTTTTCTTTTCTTTTGGTACAGGGTCTTGCTCTGTTGCGCAGGCTAGAGTGCAGTGGTTCGATCTTGGCTCACTGCAGTCTCTGCCTACCAGGTACAAGTGATTCTCATGCCTCAGCCTCCTGAGTAGCTGGGATTGCAGACACACCACCACGCCTGGCTAATTTTTGTATTTTAGTAGAGATGGGGTTTTGCCATGTTGGCCAGGCTGGTCTCAAACTCCTGACCTCAAGTGATCCACCTACCTTGGCCTCCCAAAGTGCTGGGATTACAGGCGTGAGCCACTCTGCCTGGCCTCTGTTTTTTCTTCTATCAAACAGGAATACCTCAGCCGATCTGATGGCTCACAACTGTAATCCCAGCACTTTGGGAGGCCATTTGGGAGGTGAGATCTCTTGAGCCTAGGAGTTTGAGACTGGTCTGGGCAACATGGTGAGACCCCGTCTTCCAGCTCCCAATTATTTTTAATTAGCTAGGCATGGCAGTGCACGCCTGTAGTCCCAGCTACTCTGGAGGCTGAGGTAGGAGGATCATTTGAGCACAGGAGGTTGAGGTTTCAGTGAACTATGACCACACCACTACACTCCAGCCTGGATTCACTTCTGGCTCTGCCATTAGTTGAGCAGCTTAAGTGACTTTATCTCCACCATCTTGGTTTCCTCATCTATCAAATGGGGATGTTCATAGCACTTAATTTGTAAGGTTCTTGAAAACACTCTACAAATGTGAGTGATTAGTCCTCTTGGGTCAATACATTCCTTCCCAGTTCTAGGCAAAACTGTGGGCCACCTGGAGCCTCCCCTCCCCAGGCTCTCCTTCCCCAGCCCTTGCCACTAAAGCTTCTCAGGTTATCTCTTGCATCTGCTGGAAAAAATTCTTTCATTCGAACCTCCCAGGGCCATCTGCACTTTAAAGAGGGCTCTCAAGAAAGACTTTGCCAGGGTGGCTAAAGCCTGTAATCCCAGTACTTTGAGAGGCCGAGGCGGGTGGATCACGAGGTCAGAAGATGGAGACCAACCTGGCCAACATGGTGAAACCCCGTCTCTA